CAGAAATATTTATTTTACTGTACAATGCCAACGTTAGAATGATATTAGCAAGTGATATTTCATATTAAGTCTCTCAGGAGAAGCCCTCATATCTGGCCCTAGGACTGCCCTGTTGATTTGATCAAAGAGGGCCACATTTGGCCTCTATGTCCCCGCATAGACAACCCAGAGGTTCTGAGAAGTTACTGCCTATTGGATAAATTTGACCAATGAAGTAGAAGCCAGCAGGTAAATTTTCCACATTTTTCTTCAAAGGGACAATCCTGAGACAATTTGTACATCTTTTTATTCATTCTTTTAAAAATTTTTTTAATTTTAAAGGTAAAAGAATGAAAACATATTAACAGACACAGATATTTACAAAATAACACAAAAACAGTACAAGCAATACATATTTTCACACAAGGTGATAGGAAATTAACAATGGTGGTTGTATTACATATTAATATGTTCAAATTGGTTAATTTGAACAGTTAATTAAACATTAACTGTTCCTTTCAATAAAGTAATAGAAATCAGTAGTACAACTATCTTAGCTATCCTGTGTATACCTATGTACATATTTTTCCCTTATTTCTTCTTTTCTCTTTTCTCTCATCCCAGTTGTTCTTTCCTTTTGAGCAATGTCTATTGTACCCTTTAGATTTTATTCACTCTTTCAGGTTATTGCACTAGTGAGACAATACGGTGTTTACACATGTGGATCTGATTTAGTTCACTTTTGTGTATTGTCTCTAGTTGTGACCATTTACCTATAAAAGTCTTGAATTTATCTGTCTTTATAGGTGAGTAATACTCCATTATATAAAAATACCACAACTGTTTTATCCATTCCTCAGTTGATGGGCATTTGGGTTGCTTTCAAGATTTAGCTATGATAAATTGCTCAGCTGTAAGCAAGGTACACATATATAGTTGTGATATGATGTTTCCAGTTCTTCTGGAAAAATACCCAGAAGGAGAACAACTGGGTTGAATGGGACTTCTAATCCTAGTTTACTGAGGAATCTCTAAACTGATTTCCACAGTGCTTTCACCAGTCTACATTTCCACTAACAGTAGAGAAGTGTTCCTTTTTCCCCACAGCCTCTCTAGCATTTTTATTGGTTGATTTCTTGATGATAGCCATTCTTTGTGGGGTGAGATGGAATCTCAGTGTTGTTTTAATTTGAATTTCTCAAATGACTAATGATGTTGATCTCATCTTATTGAAAAGTGTTTGCACATCTAAAGAAATCACCAGCAGAGTAAAAAGAAAACCCACAAATTGGTAAAAAGTGTTAGCAGACTGTCCCTCAGACAAAGGACTTCTATCTAGAACATATAAAAGATTAAAAAAAAATCAGCCCCCCCAAATTCAAAGACCCAATCCAAAAATGGGCATCTGAGATAAATACATACTTTTCATTTAAAGAAATACAAATGGCAAATAATACATGAAAAAAAGTTCGACATCATTAGTCATTCAAGAAATGTACACTTTTCTAAGGTGAATAAAACCAAATGTCAAGTAATTAACTGTATTCAGCAGCATCAAGCTTTCCAATGCAATCTTTTATTGGTTTCACAAGGTTCTTTCTTGGTAGTCTGGCTGCAGAGTTCATATCTTAACCATTGTCCTAAATAGCCAATCATACAATGCTAATTGGATGTCTTTATCAGAATTATTTGTTATTAATTCTTGTATCTGTTGGGTAACCTAGGTTATGTCATAGTAACAAACTGAGTATCTTTGAGTTTTACATGTTTAATCTTTTGCTCCTATTATTTATCAAGAGTGGGTCAGTTTCCTCTCTGCTCCTGTCTTCAATGTAGACCAGACTAATGGGGTGGCTTTTAACTGTGAGTTAACTGGCTTTGAGATAATAGGGAAAGAGTATGATACATTGTGGTTTGATTTAACTGCCCAAAGCAATTGATGAGGCCATGCATGCTGTTGTTTTTATATCTTAGAAACCCACTTATAATAAATTTAAGGAAGGAAGACAATTGGGTAGAGCATTCGTTTCATTTATGTCTTTAAAATCTCAGTATGTGGATATCTAAATGCAGGAGGATGTATTTGGAACCTTATCTTACATTAGTACCTTAGAACCTTACTATACCTTACCTTACAGCTCCTTAATTTATTATAGCATTACCATATGACACAGCAGTTACACCCCTAGGTATATATAATATCCAAGAGAAATGAAAATATATACCCCTAAAACTTGAATATGAATGTTAATAGTGGCATTATTCATAGTGGAGAAAAGGTGGAAACCGCCTAGATGCCTATTAGCTGATGAATGAACAAACACACAACAGTTTCAGAGGTGTCCGTCCATGATCAATTGGCCTTTCTGCTTTTAGGCCTATGGTGAGGCAGCACATCATGATGCAAGTGTGCAGTAGAGCAAAATTACTCATTTCATCACTAGGAAGCAAAAGAGAAGAGGGGCTCAGGTTCCACGATCCTCTTCAAGGGCACATCCCCAGTGACTTGAAGACTTCCTCCTGGGTCCTGCATCTTAAAAGTACCATCATCTCTGGGTATTACCATCTCAGGGACCATGCTTTTTTAAACACATGGACCTTTTTTTTTGAGGGGGCGCTCAAAATCCAAACTATAACACGGACACATACTACAACATGGAAACCTTATGCTGAGTGTAAGAAACCATTTCATACAGGCCACATAATATATCATTCTATTTATATGGAAGTCTAGAATAAGGAAGTCTATTGAGATAGAAAGTAGGCCAAGAGTAGCTTAGGGTTGAGAGGAATGAAAGGACAAGGTTGTGATAACTATGGAAAGTGATGATTACCAGTAACTGTGAATATACCAAAACCCATTGGTTTGTACGTTTTATACAGGTGAATTTATGGTATGTGACTTATATCTCAGCAAAGCTGTTAATACCACAAATAGTACGTTAGATGGTAGAAAAGTGTTATGTAAAGGAACATGAAATAGTTATGAAGGAGAATCTTTTGGGGAAGTTCTGAATTTATATTATTATTATTGTCTTTTTTTTTTTTTCGTACCGGGAATTGAACTCAGGACCTTACGCTTGCAGGCAGGCACTTGTGCTTCTGAGCTATATCCTCAGCCCTATATTTGTCTTTTTGAGACAGGGTATCGCTATGCAGTTCATGCTGGCCTTAAGCTCACTTTGTAGCCCAGGTTGGTCTCAAACTCGCAATGATCCTCCTGCCTCGGCCTGCGAAGTGCTGGGATTATAGGTGTGTGCCATCACACCTGGCAAATTTTGAATTTTAAATAAAATTGTCAGGAGAAGCTTGAGAGACACAAAATAGTGAGGCATTCAAGTATGTGTTGAAGAGCATTCCAGGCACAGTGAATAACAAGTGGAGAGATTCTGGGGAAGGCAGAGGCAAAGTGCTGGAATAGAGTGAGCACAGGAGAAAAGGACCAGAGTGGAGCGAGGGGACTCGCTAGGAGATCACGGCAGTTACCTTTTACTATATAAGAAACAACTACAAAACCCCACTAGCATACAGCAGTCCGCTTTTATTTTCATGCATTAGAATTCTAGTAGACCCAGGCTGAGCTCAGCTGTTGGTCCTGCCAATCCCAGGTGGGTTTGGTAATTAGTCTAAAGATTAGATGGGGCTATCTGACCTAGGCTGGGCCCACATTCATAGCCAGGGGAAGTATGGTTTTGATCTCCATATGACTTGGCCACAGAATTTCTAAAGTACTCTTCTCTGACTTGAGTGATTTTTATTTTGTGAGAAATTAAACAACTTGCCTACATTCATCTTGTAGTTTATTGAAATGCTATTTGTTGGATGAAGATCTCAACTTCAAATCCTCCACAAAGTTCTACTTTTGATGCTTATAACCACTGAGATATATGGAAGGGATCTTATTTCACGTGTATGAGAATTTTGTGAGAGGAATATCATTGACTACTTTTATAGGTAAGAAAACTAAGACCAAAGAAAGTAAGAAAGCTATAGAGATTCATACAGTCTATTAGAAGTAAAATTTTTTTTAAAGAGAAAAGAAGAAGAAAAAACACAAAAACAAATCAATACAAAACTATAAAATGATACAGTATTTCAAAACAAGATGATGGGAAATCAGCAATGGCTATTGTATTACTTATTGTTATCTTCAAAGTAGTTGCTCAGACTACCAGATATAGGTACAATAGATATTGTGAAAGAGAAAGAAACTGCCCAATAGGAAAGAACAACTGGGATGAGGGAAAGGAGAAAAGAAAGAAAGAAGGAAAGGAAAAAAATATGTAGATAGCTAAGATAATTGTACTATTAATTTCTATTAGTTTATTGAAACGAATAGGTAATGTTTAATTGTTTGATTAATCTTGCATACCTAGAAGTAAAATCTAAACTCCAACCTGATGCTTTATAAATTTTCATTTTTGTCATACCATTGCTCTCTAAAAAAGGCAACTTTCTTGCATTTTTAAAAATTCCAAATTCCCTTGCTGATAATGACATTAAACCAAAGTTCACATGTTGCTTGAATCTCCACACCTGTACCCCATCCTACTGAACTTCTTCGAAAACTGGAATACCGTATCATCTTGGGGAAATTAGGGCTTCAATTATAGAAATTACTAGATGTTGACATTTTCTGACCTTAAAAGTCTACAGTTATTAGTTATAAAATAGAAAATGTAGCAATTATATTTTTCTTTTTGCAAAACAGAAGGATTATGATTTACTCTCTGTTGTCTGAGTTCTGAGGCTTATCTCTAGCTAGAAGTTGGTTGGCTCTTTTCTCCACCATAGCCTCAGTCTTTCCCTGCTCCTCGGCTGTTGGTGCACATTTGTTAACACAATTAGGGAACTTGTATCTCCCCAGAATATTAACACAATTCCAGTATCTACCCCACCCCAAACACAGATTATTTCTGGTGACCTCCTTCAAGCAAGTTCTAACACCTAGTGAATTATTTTTAAAATTGTAAATGGCTATGTTGATGAACCCAAAATTATGAAACCTAGGAATACAGAAGGAGAGTTTAATCTTGTAATAAAAGATAAATTTTACCACAATTTATTTTGACTAATGATATATGTAATCATTATCATAGTACAGTGTTACTGATGGAAATGGTAAACAGATTACTTAGGTGACTCTAATTTCCATTAATTTTATATAGCCATTCCTGTGGTTTAACTCTTATTACTCAGGACATACAAGGAATGTCTTTTTCTATTTTTTGTATCCTGAGGTGTTTGTGTAGCTAATATCTTCTTGTCAATAGAGAAAACAGCCAAGGTATCCCAAAAATTTTGCTACTTTCTTGTGTTTTTTCCACTGTGGCCAAATGAACTCCGATTCTTATATGATTTACCTTTGCCCCCAGTATTTCCTTTATTTTCCAGGCCTATTCCTTGCCTCCACCTAAAGTTTCTCCTCCTTGGTTAGCTGGACCAGGAAGATGCCAACTAAATGGCAAGGCTTCTTTGGGTCAGTACCTGTTGTTAGGGTCTTTCTAGTACAGAATGAAAGAATATCCTGTGACCATTGAGGTCTAAAAGACTATCCTCAATTCTTAAAATTACTCAACAAGTACTGTCAGGTAATCAAAACCTGCACATGGAAAGGAATCTGCCCACCCAAATTTTGGTTACAAATGAGTTATGTATGCTATCATGGAGTTTCCTACCACAACAAAAAAAATTTTAGCCTGAGTGTCTCATCAGGACTTTGTTGAAGAACAGACATTTGGTTTGCTTAGCCCTCTTTATGTCTAGTTCTCTTTAGAGGGATCTCTGAACAGATTCCTGTCCTATCTGGATCATTCTCCATTCCTATCAGCAATGTACTTTCTTTTCCAAGCTCAGTTCTAGGAACCATAAATGCCCTCAAGTCTTGGCCCCAGTGTAGACAAAGAGCATCTGCTTTCTCAGCTTTTAGGGGGAAGCATGTGAATAGGGGTCTCTTGGGAACAGACATAAGGGTGCAGAGGCTGAGTTTATCCCTCTCCTACTGATTCTGCCCTTTAAATAATGCTCACAACTGTCGAGTCTGCAGTTTCTCTCTGATAACATGATCATGTGCTCTGTGAATGAAACAGACTTCCACAGGATAGACCCTGTGGATCAGTCAGGAAGGCTCAGTTCTATAGAAACAGATCTCATTTCAACTGTATTGTTTCCATAAAATTGGCCCTGTCTCCTGGAGATGATTAGCATCCAGTCCCCCAAAACAGAGTACAGAAGCTCATTTTCCTAAACAGGTAAGAACCTCTATTGGTGGACAGATACATAAACAAAATCACAGAATAGATGAACCGTGAGGTTCCAAAGAGTCAATTTCAACTCTCACAGGAAATGCAGTCTAGGGTAATGGCTGGCTCAGAACTGGGAGGTTTTCTTGGTGGTGTGTGTATAAGTCTATGTGTGAAAATGAATGATGCATTAGCCCTGTGGATTCATTAGGGAGCTCTGCCAGCAAGCTGTGGAAGGCTGACACCGTAATTTGATGTTCTGTATTTCCCAGACCAGTCTCAATTATAACTATTCTCTGTTGCTATCTCTGTAAGTATATTCGTTCTTGTCAAAGCAGACTGTGATCATTTGAGAATCAGCTCACAGATCCAGCGGTAGGGGACGTCACATGACGCAGCATCAAATGTTGTTGACAGGCCTATGGTGACACAATTGAAGTTCTGATTCTCGTTGGTAACACTAAATGAGAAAAGAAAATACTGTCATGACTCACTGCTTCCGCTCTGCCTTTTACTGATCTCAGCGAGAGTCTCATGCAACTGGTATGGGACTGTGTGGGAACACTGCTTCTCTGCACCACATCTTCTATTCTAACTTCCCTATATTCAGCTCTACTTTTGTTTCCTGTCAGCTGTCCAGAGAGTGTTATAGAGATCCCCAGAATCTTGACTAATGCACTCCTATCTTTGGTCAGAAACATTTCACAATGTCCCTTTTCCCCCAAGAAATAATGTTTTAGTACTGTCTGTAAATTTGTAGCAAAACTGAAAGGGGGACAGAGGTTTCTCATTATTTCCTTGACTCCAGCAAGCTGTAGGAAAATCTTGCTGGCTGTGTCCATTAGCCTTCTCCTAACTCTTTTCCTGTCATTTGGTTCTTTATAATGTGAATGCAAAGAATTCTAATTTCATGGAAAAGTCATAAGTTTTGGGCTCAGGTGAATATAGGATCAAATTGTGGCTTTACCACTTTAAAGCTATATGAATTTCAACCCATTTCTAAACCTTTGTTGTCCTGAATTCGGCTGTTGAGTAGAGAGTAATAAAAGTTTTTTCCTGTATCATCCTTTGAAGACTGCAGGAAGTAGTTCATGTAAGGTGCTCAGCATAGTGTCTGACATTTAGTAGAAACTGAATGAATATGAACCCTATGAATATTATATTTTCCACCAAAGTTTATCTCCATGGGATGAGCCATTGGAGATAAATATTGAGAGTTAGAAGTTCACAGCTTTAAGGTAGAAACAATTTTTGAAAGTAATAACCTTTCTTTAGACAAAAGTGCTATATCTGGGGAAATTTGTAGGCATTTAGCAAGAAAATAGATCAGTAGTTTAAGAGAAACCTATAAGTTACAGAAATAATGTATTCTATGAATATTTTTTCTCTCCTACTTTTTAAAGTAGAAAATGTTTGATATTTTCCATAATAAAATGTTTATAAGAAATATTTCTGTGAGAATAGACAAGATGGAAGAAAGATTAGAACAAGATCAAGTCTCAGCTTTTGTACTATTCCAGCATGAGTCTCAGGTTTAATCTTTTTTTTAATGGAAAAAAGGTAAAACAAAATTAAATAACAAACTAGTAGAAAAATAACAATAGTTACTACATTGCATGTTGTTATCTTTGAAGTAGCTGCTCAGGGTACAAGATAAGGGCATAAAAATTTCTTCAATCAATATTAGCAAAACCTTTCTTGTTAATGAACCTTTAAGAGACACTAATAGTATGACTGACTTGCATTTTTCCCCCTTTTCCTACTATCCTTTCCTCTTTCACCCATCCTAGTTCCTTTTTCCTTTTGAACAATTTCTTCTCATTTCACAATACCTATTGTACATTTTAGACCTTATTTACTCTTTCAATTTCTCACATCGGAGAGAAATATGATGTTTACAGATGTGAGTCTGATTTATTTCACTTATGAATATGGTCTCAAATTGCATCCATTTACCGATATAAGTCTTGTCAAGTTTATTCTTCTTTATGGCTGAATAATATTCCATTGTATAAAAATATCACGTCTTTGTGGTATAATGTTTTTAATTCTTCTAGGAAAATGCCCAGCAGGGGAATAGCTGGGTTAAGTGGGACTTCTAATCCTAGTTATGTGAGGAATCTCCACACTGTTTTCCATAGTGGTTTTACAACTCTACACATCCACCAGCAGTGGAAAAGGGTTCCTTTTTCCCCACAGCCTCTCCACCATTTGTTATTGGTTGATTCCTTGATGATAGCCATTCTTTTGGGTTAAGATGGAATCTCAGTGTTGTTTTAATTTGCATTTCTCCAATGACCAATGATGTTGAACATTTTTTCATGTATTTATTTGCCATTTGTATTTCTTCATCTGAGAAGTGTGTATTCATCTCAGATGCCCATTTTTGGGCTGGGTCTTTGAGTTTTGGGGGCCTGGTTTTTAAAAAGTTGTTCATATGTTCTAGATAGTTCTTTGTCTGAGGGGCAGTTGCTAAAATTTTTTCCCAATTTGTTGGTTTTCTTTTTACTTTGTTGGTGATTTCTCTAGATGTGCAAAAACTTTTCCATAAGATGAGATCCCAGTTGTTGATTCTTTGAAGTATTTCCCATACAGTTTAGTTTTTGTTCATGAACTCTTTGCCTACCCCTATGTCTTCAAGATTTTTACCTACTTTCTCTTCTAGTAGATTTAGTGTTTTTGTTTTAATATTTAGATCTTTGATCCATTTTGACTTTAGTGCATGGTGATAGGCATGGGTCTAGTTTTAGTCTTTGGCATGTGGAATGCCAGTTTTTCCAGCACCACTTTTTAATGAGGCTATCTTTCCTCCAGTGAACATGTTTGGCTCCTTTTTCAAAGATAAAGTGATATATGGACACAGAAATATATGTGTACCCGTGTTTATAGCAGCACAATTTGTCATAGTTTAATCCTGGAGACAACCCTAATGCCCATAAACTGAGGAATGAATAAAAAGTATTTGATTTTTTATACAATGCAGTATTTTATTCAGCTATAAAAAAGATAAACTCAAGGGTTTTATAGGTAAATAGATGCAACTAGAGACCATACTCATAACTGAAATAAATTGGACACATATGTGTGAATATCATGGTGTCTCTCTAGTGTAAGAACCTAAAAAAGTAAATAAAACCCAAAATGTACAATAGATATTATGAAAGGTTAAGAAATTGCTCAAAGGGAGGAGCAACTGGGATGAGGGAAAGGAGAAAAAGAAAGAAAGGAAGAAGGAAGGGTATATATATGGAAAGTTGGGATAACTGTACTGCTGAAGTCTAATAGTTTATTGAAAGGAGCAGTTAATGCCTAATTTTTTTTCTTTTTGACCAATTTTGCATGCTTATATCTGGTAATCTGGACGACTAATTTAAAGACAACAATATACAATATAACAACCATTGGTGAATTCCAATCATCTTGTCTAGTGAAACTCTGTATTGTTTCTAATTTTTTTTTGCTTTTATTTTTTATTCTCTGTAATGGTTTGATGAATCTTGCATTCTTACATCTAGTAATCTGAACAACTTGGTTGAAGATAACAATATGTAATATAACAGCCACTGTTAATTCCTATCATTTTGTTTTGAAACCCCATATCGGTTTTATTGTTTTTGCTTTATTTTAATTTTGTCTGTGTTGTTGGTATTTTGCTATTGTTCTTTTTAATTATTTTCTTTAAAATAAAAAAATTTTAAAAACCCACATCTTTTTTATCCATTTCTTGGTTGATGGGCATTTAGGTTGTTTCCAAGAGTTAGCTATTACAAACTGTAGTGCTTTAAATTTCTATTTAGAACATATGCAGAACTGAAACAAATCAGACCCCCAAATTCAAAGACTCAATAAAAAAATGGGCATCTGAGATGAATAAAACCCCACAGATGAAGAAATACAAATGACGAATAAATATATGAAAAAATGTTCAACATCACTGGTCATTTGAGAAATGCAAATTAAAAGAACACTGAGATTCCATCTCACCCCAGAAGGAGTGGCTATCATCAAGAAATCACCAATAACAAATATTGGCAGGGCTATGAGGAAAAAGGAACACTTCTCCACTGTTGGTGGGAGTACAGGCTTGTGTAGCCACTATAGAAATCAGTGTGGATATTCCTCACAAAACTAGAATTAGAGGTCACATTCAACCCAGCTGTCCCCCTTCTGGGTATCTTCCCAGAAAAATTAGAAACATCATACTACAGCAACGTAGGTTTTATCTTTTGAGGGAAACCAAGATCTCCCAAAATATGTCGATGCTCACGTACTTGCCATTGAATGCAGAGTTGTTGATCCAGTGCCACTTTTTCTCTGCAGGCTTATACATTAAGCCAATAAAATACTTCTCAGCATTAGCTTTGTCTTGGAGATACCTCTGAAATTTAAAAAGTACATAAAATATTCAACAGTGAGTCCTTTATTGCTGCCCTTCTGGAGCCAATGAGCCTGTGGTTATATTTGATTGTGGGAACAAGGAAAACTGCTAGAGGTAGGAGACTGGCTGTCACTGGCACTTGCCATTACGGCGAGAGAAGTTCATAAACTTTGCAGGCATTAAGATTGTCTGGATGTCTTGCTAAAGCACAGATATCTGGGCTTCTGGTCCAGAAGGGCTGGTGTAGGGAATGAAGCATTTACATTCCTAGCAAGTACCAAGGTAATGCTGATATTGCTCTTTGAAACTACACAGGAAATAGAGAAGGATGACTGGTCAAGACCTGCTACTCTGAAATACAGTTGAAAACTTGTCATACCCCTCTGTATAGAATTGCTTTCATTTCCAGAAATTTTATTTTCCAAATGAGGTTGATTAAAATAACAAAACACATTGACTTGAGATTCATCAGCAAATTACCGTGATGAACTTCTGAGGTTAGTGTGGAGTGTGAGTGGTGGGGAATTCTGACAGTGGGAATTGGGATGCACTGAAACTGAAGAGGTGAGTATAGGACATGATACCATCAACTTGCCTTATTCTCCTCTTCCCTGATCATTTTCTTTCCTCTTTTCTCTTGTGTCTTACTCCCAGTTTTCTGCCTGAGGGCATTTTTCCTTTCCACTTGGTACTTAGACCTAAAAAATCTATAGCCTCTTGATCTCTGCCCTTTGTTAGACATCTAGTGCCAAACTTCAGAGAAGAAGGTCCTCTTACAAATTGTTCTCAATCACAGGAGTACATTTTTAAAGAGGAAGAGTGAGGTTATAAAAGGGAGAGAAACAAGAATAGTTCATGTAGCACAGTACTCTTTTCCTCTACTTACTTAAGTTTTGGTGCATAGCAAATTCCATCCTTTGTATTCTCTGCCTAAAGTACACTGAGTTCTGAGTACTCAGCAAATGCTTAGATTTGATGGAGGGATAACTATAAACTAGAATGAAGTATGGTCTAAAATTTATTAAAATATGCATTTGGGAGTCAAAGTGATATGAATTCAGTTCTGTGTTCTGTAATTTATGTGTATAACCTTTGTTAAATTATTTTTGTGCTCTAATTTCCTCATTTATAAGATATAGATAATAATATACCCTCAGGATTGTTATGAGATAAAAGGAAGTAAAAAAGTTTTTTCCATAGCACTATCCATTTTTATTATCAGGAATATAAACTGAAAACCCTATGACCTGATTGTTTTTCATATTACTGATTGTTTTAATTCACATCTTCCTTTTTTTACTGTGTATATTGGGGTGCTATGTTGATATCTCGTATCTGTGATGTATGCTGTAGGTTTTAAATAACTTTTATCAACATTGGCTCTTTGGTCATTTCCTGCACTTTAAAGGTCTTGAACCAACCCTGGGATATTATCTCACTGCTGTATCTTAAGGGGAAGACTACAGAGTCTGGATGTCTAGCTCAAAGAAGCCAGAGATCATGCCCCTGTGCTACAAAAAAGCCTTTCAACCTCAGATTCAGAACAACCAGGTAGAATGCAGCGAGCCACCTCTCCACTCCTCTCCACCCACCCCCTGCTCCACCACATTGATCCACATCTCCAACCATGGAGGCTGGTGTAGTGTGGGCTGCTTTACTGTACCATTCCTGATGCTCTCACCAGCTTCTCTGGCGTGTCGACAATTGCCAAAGTGGATCCTCTTCTTGCACAGTCATCCCTGCTCTTGTCCAACGTTGATTCGGAGGTGGATAAGAAGAAACATCTTATTTGGTGGAAGTTCTGCCAGTGTGGAGGGCAGACTGAAGAGATGAGAGAGTAGGGGTAGGAAGGAAGGGAGAAAGGAAAACATGAGTTTGGGATTAGTTACTTGGAGTGTGAACCCTGGAACTGAATCATAAAATAATGGGACATAATGTGATATGGGTTTCTTTATAACAACTATATTGATATAAGCTGTTCTCAACTCATTCTAGACTGCTTTCTTACTGTTGACATGAAGGAAATAAGCTAGACAGTCTTTATGGACCATTTAAGCCAAAAACTAGTACTATAGGGAAGGAAGTGATGAGAAAAGTCTCTCAGAATTCAGCTAATAACCTACATGTGGGGTGGAAGGGAGGTTCAAGTCATGTGCTTTACCTGTTCCATAGCTCCTTGTGGGGATGATGCTGTCAGTACTGTTCCCAAAAATCTGTGAGACTGAAATGAAAAGGAAACATAAAGATTGCTATACAGTGAACGTAACACACAATCATCACAGTGTTGGTCGTCGAACTCCTGCAGCTTTTTGAAATTTAACGGTGGAGACTCTAGGCCAGCACTGAGCTAGATTTTTTCAGATAGTTTCTTTCTTTGAACTTTCATTATGCTATTACTGTTATTTGTCCTCTTTTATGCTCTTCCCTTTTGATGTGGCAGAAGGTATGAAATGCTGGGGGTGGGCAGAAAAAAGAAGAGACTGATGAGTAGAGTAACAGAAGAATTTGGTATCCCAGGGAGACTCACTCCTTTCTTATGTCTTCCTCTGACGGTGTTATCCCTTAACTGGAGCACTTCCACTCCACACTCCACAAAGCATCTTCGTTATTCTTGCCATTTTTGGTGTCCCAAATCCTCTACTGAAACTCACAACCCCAGGCAGCTACTGGATACCTCTCTTATCAATACCTTCTCAGCTCTAAGAATTGTGACTAATTGGAACAAGTGTTAGGATGTTATCAGACAAAGGATCGGGTGAAGATTACAGAGATTTTCGGTAAGTGTAGAGAAATCCATTTGTTCCTTTACATACAAATAGGGGAATTGATTGGTCTCCACAAAGGCTCATTTTTCTTTTTCTTTTTTGGAAACACTGGCTGTCTGAGTAGGAAGCTACAGTAATTTCAGAGAGTGGTCTGATTTCCCCTTAGTGATCCCAGTTATTTGCCATTATGGTTGAAAATAGCTTAGTTTACTCAGATACTAAATTGGTTGCTTAAAATTATATTAATGAAGTAGATGTTAGCTTTCACTTTTTATTTCAGTTTGGCTCACAGACCCTTTGTCATATACAGTAGCCTGGTTTTCATCAAAAGGTACTTTGAGATTATAATGGAAGGGACCCAATACATATTTCCTGAGTATTTTCTTCATATAGCTCATTATACTGGATATCTCAGTTGAAACAAAGATGAATGAGGAATGGCCTTTTTCTTAAAGGTGTTAGTAGTAACAGGTGTCTTAAGAGCAAATGAAAGGAAAGTGTGGGAAGAGGCTTCCAGAGCAGGTGGGTTTAACAGGAAGAGCCACATCTCACTCATCTCTTTATCCTGCATGACTTCTAGTCTTGTGCTTTTTGATCTACAGATGATGACTGAATAATATCCCCTGTGTTCATTCTTGTCCTGTGGTTGGCCTAGAATAATATTTGGCACACAAACATGACCCTTTTTTGTGGCACCTGGTCTCTTAATAACCATTCCTTGTAGGTGTTCAGATTCTCTGAAGTACGTTCACATTACACTACAACAGTTACACACCGTTTGTCCACATGCCCAGGAGGAAAGCTGAGGGTCAGAAATTTCACTCGGGACCTGGGAGTGCAGTGCAAATGTATACTTTGTATACAAGAGATCCTAAGTTTGGGTTCTATCCCTAGCAAATGAGAAATTTTCACTGAGTCTTGTACTGGTTATTTCTCGGAGATAACTCATTAAAATACCTTTCTATCTTTTAAAAAAGTTCCTTGGGAAAGGAGGCCTTGAGGAAGTGCTCTAAGAATCCAGTGCCCTAGAAGCTAGATGGTAGAGAGGAGATTACCATTCTGCACATTATCTGTTCCGTAGCTCCCAGTGGGAATGACGCCATCATTACTTTTCCAAAAAGTCTGTGGGACTGGAAAGAAAATCAACTATTGTCTCAGTTTCAAATACCACTGAGTGATGAATAAAATAAGCAAACCCATAGGCGTTGGTGGAGACCTGTGACTATTAACGGGAAGCACTGATCTCTGACACAGGTCAGCAGGGAAGGGATGTGTGTATATTTTTGGGATGTCTTCACTTATTGAAACTCATATTTCCTCTTAGCCAACTGCTCTGGCCGACTCATATTTCCTTCTTCATTTAAGCTACTTATTGGCATCAGGGACTGGAGAGGACTCTACTTGTTGAATTGTAGCAAAATCCTTTGGTAGAAGGCTTCTTTTTCTAGTGAATTCATTTGGATGAATAAATTTATATGACTTTGTAGCAAAGTTTCTCTTTTGGTTCTAGCCCATTCCTTTATAGTTCAGCCCTTGACCCAGATTTACTACTGGATTGAAATGGAGCTGTTATTTTAAAATTTTAGCTACAATCACAACCCTGTTAACTACTTTAGCTCAGATTACCCAAAAAAATACTCCAGTAACAAAAGTTGTGTGTAGGATTTGAATTTATTATCAGACTGGTCATTTATGTATCTCCAAGGCAGAACAAGAAATCTGGCCCATTGTACCAGCCGGAGGGGTAGAAGGGCATAGGTCATTTAATCTTAGGCTGTATTGCCCTTCAGTGGAAAATTTGAGAATTTAACCTTACATGTAATTTTGCATTCAGAAGAGTCAAGGAACACGACAATAGGTGTCAGTCACTCAAATGCTCACAATGTAGCAAAGTTAAGCAATCAGTCAAATACTCACAGTACAGCAGAAATAAAGTCACTCCAACAGCTTTAAGCACTACTATGATAAGTACAGAGATTATCATGTGCCAGTTCATTATGAAGGGAATTTGGAGGCTGTGGGGTTCAAAGAGAAATTATTAGAATTTGGGAATAAACTTGCTCGTTCCACAGGACCTACCCCAACCTCTTGCTTGGAGATCCAAAGGAAGGCTTAGAAGGCTCATGGTTGGGAACTTGTGATGTTTGGGAGCTTTTGAACTTGGAATTCATCCCTTAGCTCTAGGCTTAGCCTTGTCCCTGTTTGTGTCCTTTTCAACCCTGCTAAATAAGTAAATCCTCTCCTGTATTTCAAGAACTCAATGTCTTGAAATGCCCCTTGCTTCTAAGAACATTAGTTTGTTGTCTTGGCCATACTGACTTCACTTGTGGAAGAGTCTGTCTTCAGTATGCCTGTAGTAGGGGACAGACTGAACAGGCTTCCTTTAAGGTCTGGTTTTGGGGGAAGGGCCAACAGTCTGTGCAGAGAGGACAGAGAGACAGACAGGCAAATGGACAGACTCACCTCTTTTCCTAGAAGACTGGAATGTCTTGCAGATGGGGCTTTAAGGCTTGGTACAGTGGACACGGGCCCTGTCTCTTGAGAATACACTCCTGCTCAGAAAGTGCCCTTCCTTCTTCACAGTTTGTCTGTCCTAGCAGCATCTGAGCAAATACTTCTTCCTGTTCAATGTTTTTGGCAAAGGAAGCAGGCGGGGCAAAGAGAGGAAGGGAGCCTCTAACTCATCAGGAGGAAGGTTCCTATTAGGAGCGTCATAATACTGGGGAACATTTCTACAAGAATTTGGAGAAGCAGTTATCTCAGTATGGACTCACTCTTCCTTTCTACTTTCCATTGCTCCTGGAACATGGTGTGGACTCCTTAACATGGTCTATAAGTCTTTAGATATGCATTGTTGCAGCAAATGTTGTGTGCTTAACCTAGCCACTTTCAGGCACCTGTGGTATATGTTCTGGCTCTGGGCTTCTCACAAAACTACATCTACCCTAGCATCATCTGCTAGCAACACTGAGCTTACTCTTTGGTCTAACTTTTCACATATTCACCTCACATACCTTTATTGAGCACGTGTGTACAGAGCACTAATAGCACCACCTGCACAGACATAGATTTCTACATGTGCTCTTTGAGTAAGTTATCCTGATTCATCCTTCAGGTCTCAGTTTAAGTGCTACTTTTATTCTAGAAATTTCATGTCAATTTTCCTTCCTTGCCCCATTGGGGTTTAGGTGTCACTTATCTAGTCTCATACATCATGCACTTGTTCCTTGGAACTGACCGTCATATGATAATGTGCTTCTCGCCTTGCCCTGCAGACTCTTTGAAGCCATGAAGGCAGGGACTGCTTATCTTCTCACTGCCCTAGCCCCAGCATATCCACAGAGCATGGAATACTGTACCATGGTACTGGGCTTCCAGGCTTGCAATTCAAGCCTTTGCAGTGAAAGTATGAGGGACCCTACAAATAAATGTGGAGTATTGATTAAAATTTTGTCTTAAATAATTGCTATTAAATGTGGATTGTAGTTATAGTACTCACAATGATAAATAACTACCTCCTTAGTTTGTAAATAGTTAATATGTGTGGCAAATACTGTGTTATTTTAAAGGAAGTTGCCACTTAGATGATACAACTGTAAGAATTCATAGAACACACAGAAAAATCCTCTGTCACATCTCATTAGAGAGAGGTTGAGGACTGAGAGCAGAGGCTGTCAACACAGGACCCACAGACTGCTTTCAGTGTGCAGCTCTATTTAGTCTGACCTGTTCTGTGTTTTAAAAGATTTGAATCAACATTTTGGAACTTGGGAGGTCTCAGTTGACATCCAGAGCCCTGGAAGTTCTGACACAACGTAGGACGCATACCCTCAGGCCAGCCCTCAGCAGGAGCAGGTGTTGGGCCTAGCAAGTCTGTCTTCAGTTACACTACCTAGGTGCCATCTATTGTCATGCTTGCACAGCTGGGTTTTCTTTCTTTTTTTTTTTTTTAAAGATAAAAGGAGGGAAACATTAACAGACATACAACATTTTACAACATATCACAAGCACAATACAGACAATACAGAGTTACAAACAAAGTGGTAGGGAATTAACAATGGTTGTTGTATTCCATATTGATATCTTCAAAGTGGCTTCTCGTGAAAACAGATATAGACATGCAATCCTGGTCAACCAAAGACTCATTGAGAGTTTCAGCTGGGTTTTCTTAAAGCAGAGTTGCTGAATGTTGTGCCTGTGTCAAAAGAAGAAAAATAAAAGATAATGACGCCACATGCTTTCAGAACAAAGGTTTAAAACATGTTTCTTTGTGAAATGTAGATGATATTTTATTCATTGAAAAATGCAAACTGTAGCTTTGCCTAAAAAGCTAGATAAGATACTATTAAGAAACAAATTCCAGAACAGTTGCTATAGAGAAAAGACACATGACAAAAACTTAATCAATTAAAAGAAAGAGTTAGAGTGGCCATGGCTCAGAATTGAAAAGTAGACAAAAATTAAATATAAAAATATAAATAATAATTCCAAGCAGCTAGCTATGTTTATATTTTGTATAACAGCTAGCTAAGAAACATTTTATACAGTGAATTATTTTAATGATACCCATGATATATGTAAAACATCAAGAGATGAGGTTTGCTAAGAAAACCTTCAATATAATAGGAAATTAACAAGGGTCAAATGAGTAAACATGACTAGAGAGACTTCTGTGATGGCACATCTTCAAGCCAGTCCTACTAGTGAACCTGAAACCACTGTGACAACATTTCACAATGACAGAGAACTGAAATCTGTTCATTGCATCATTTGCCTAATGTACTAATGATCATGTACTAATCATCATGTGCTAATGTACAAGTATTCATGGATGTGGTAATTAACGCTGTGTACCACCTATGCTTGAATACCTGGAACCACAGAAAATCTAGGGCTTTGTGTAATGCATTGGATTCACAATGTGATATTCTGTTGTATTCCATACAAGTATGAATGAAAAAAAGGAATATAGGTATACAGAGAGTTAAAATATCCTATATTTGATTGACTGAGATGCACATTAATTTTCACTTAATAACATCTCTAAAGTCAGGCTATATCCTAGTCCAGTGATGGTGAATCTCTTAGAACTTTCAATGATATAAACAACACACTGTGGCATGCATGCCGTAGGTTCACCACAACTGCCCTAGTAGATGGCAAAAAAGCATTGTGCAACAGTTGTCCCTTGATATCTATGGGGGATTAGCTCCAGGGCCTCCCTTCCCACAGATATCAAAACTCATCTATGCTCAAAACATACTATGTATAATGGAATAGTATTTGTATATAATCTATGCAATGTTCATATATATGTAAATATAATTTTAATTTTTATTGGTACATGTTTGCAATACATAGTGATTGCATTACTCACATGGAGTTGGTACATGTACATAACACAACTTAATTCCCTTTTGCATCCTTTTCCCCTCGCCTTCCTCCTCTCTCCCCCAATCTCTTGGTTTCCCTTTCCTTTCGCAAAACATCTATCTCCCTGTTTCCTGTTATTTATCTTTCATTTTGCTCTTTATTTCTATTTTATGTTTTTCATAAGAGAAATCATGTCATATTTAAGGTTGTTCGTCTGATTTACTTCACTTAACATTATGGTCTCAATGTGCATCCATTTTCCTACCAATGACTCATTTATTTTTCCTTATGGGAGAGTAGTACTCCATTGTGTATAATACCATATTTTCTTTATCCATGTTTTTGATTTTGAATATATAGGCTGCTTCCAAGATTTAGCTTTATGAGTTGTGCTGTTATGAACATGGGTATGCATGTATCATTGTAATATGATGTCTTTAATTCCTTCAAGAAGATACCTAGAAGGGGAATAGCTGGGCCAAATGATATTAAATTTTTAGTTTTTAAGAAAATTTAAAGAGAATAAAAAATGATACAGAGTTTCAAAACAAGATCATAGGAAATTAACAATGGTTATTATATTGCATATTGTTATCTTCAAAGTAGTTGCTCATTTTACCAGATATAGGCATGTAAAATTGATCAAACAATATAAGCACTAACTATTCCTTTCAATAAACTAATAGAAATTAGTAGTACAATTATCTTAGCTGTCTTGTGTGGATATATATGTATATATATTTCCCTTCCTTCTTTTGAGGAAATTCATACTGATTTCCATAATATTTGTACTAGTTTACATTGCCATCACCAATGTAGAAGGATTCCTTTTTCCCTGCAGCCTTGCCACATTTGTTATTATTTGATCTCTTGATGGATGATAGCCATTTTTTGAAGTAAGGTGAAACCTTCATGTTGTTTTAATTTGCAATTCTTTTATGGACAGAAATATTGAACATTTTAAATGTATTTATTGGCCAATACCCCAAAATTTTTGTACAGATTAAATGCAAATCCCAATTAAAATACCATTATTATGCCTCACAGATCTACAGAAAACATTCCTAACATTCATCTGGAACCAGAAGAGACCCATAATAGCAAAAGCAATCCTGGGCAACAAAGACAAGTCAGGTAGCATCACAATTCCTGGCTTGAAATTATAATACAAGGCCACTGTGATAAAATCAGCATGGTACTGGTAAAAAAAACAGACCTGAGGCTCAATGGAACAGACTGGAAGGTGCAGCTACAACTACAACTACAATCAGCCAACTTATTTTTGACAAAGGGATCAAACACGTTCACTGAAAGAAAAATAGCCTCATTAATAAATGGTGCTGGAAAAATTGGCTTACCACATGCCGAAGACTGAATCTAGAGCCAGATCTATCACCATGCACCGAACTCAAATCAAAATGGATTAGAGATTTAAATATTAAAGCAGAAACACTAAGTCTACTAGAGGAGAAAGTAGGTAAAAATCTTGAAGACATAAAGGTAGGCGGAGAGTTCATAAACAAAACCCAAACCACACAGGAAATATTTCAAAGAATCAACAACTGGGATCTCATCTTATTGAAAAGTGTTTGCACATCTAGAGAAATCACCAACCCAAAAATTGGGTAAAAATTTTAGACAGCTGTTCCTCAGACAAAGGGCTTCTATCTAGAACATACAAAGAACTAAAAAAAAACCAGCCCCCCCCAATTTAAAGACCCAATCCAAAAATGGGCATCTGAGGTGAATACACACTTTTCAGATGAAGAAATACAAATGGCATGAAAAAATGTTCAACATCGTTGGTCATTCAAGAAATGCAAATTAAAACAACACTGAGATTCCATCTCAACCCAGAGAGAATGGTTATCATCAAGAAATCAGCCAATAACAAATGCTGACGAGGCTGTGGGGGAAAAGGAATCTTTCTCCACTGTTGGTGGGAGTGTAGACTAGTGCCATCCCTGTGGAGATCAGTCTGGAGATTCCTTTGTAAACTAGGTCCTATTCAACCCAGCTGTTTTCCTTTTGGGTATTTTTCCAGGAGAACTACACACATCATACAACAGCGATGTATGTGCACCCATGTTTATAGCTGATCGATTTGTAATAGCTAAGTCGTGGAAGCAACCCAAATGCCCATCAACTAAGGAATGGATAAAAAGATGTATTTTTACATAATGGAATATTACTCAGCTATAAAGAAAGATAAACGTGAGGCTTTCATACATAAGTGGATGCAACT